TTAGCTTATAGCCTCTAAGAATTAGGCGACAAACAAGACGGACAGATAGACGGACAGACAGACATGGATATATCGACTCGGCTATTGATGATGATCAAGAATATATATATTTATGGGGTCGAAAACGTTTCCTTCTGTCCGTTGCATCCACTGGACACACTCCGAGGAGAACACACTGGAGGAGAACACTAACACACTCTTGAGAGAAGATTCAGAGGTTTGGTGGTAGGGGGTAAAGTTATAGAGCAGAACGAGTTAAAAAGGCAGAAATTTTACATTTGGCACAAGGACTGCTTAAAAAATGGTCTGTTGGACCCAGGGCTTTCAGAGTTGGACAGCCCCGATTCGCTCCATCGATCCCGATTTTATTGCCGAAAGTGTGCTGTTGGCTTGGCGTCCCACTGGTTTTAATCTTTCTGGGTCCAGTCCATTCGGTTTAATTTGTTTATTAGTTAATAACGAAGACTTCAGGTTTTGTATAAATACTACATGGCTATGTGGAATGGTTAATTAATTTCTACATCTATGTGTATGTATATGCGTATACATGTGCATATATGTATATGTGGTGACGGCGCTTCCTGTTGTGGCGCTGTGCGTCTCAACCTATATTAATGAAATAATAGCGAGAAAGAGCACGAACCTTTTAATCGGTTGAGTTGGGAGCAAGAATGTGTCTACTGCTGTCCATTATACATACATATGTACATATACATCATGGTGGAGTGAAACTGACAAAACTAATCGATGACCTCATAATAATACAAAATGTGTACAAAAATTAAAGTTCTAGAATTAATTGATTGTTTTATATTGCGAATACAATTTTGCTGGCTTAGTGTCTGTGTTTTGGTGGAAAACATAATTTTGAATCAAGTAGTTGTTCGAATGAAAGTCATTAGACGTGTCTAGAGACGGCTACGAACAATAATGTTTCATTTTGTCTCTCATGCTATCCCTCTCCTCTCAGCAAAGTTTGCCAAGTCCAATGTTATATCAACATTAGTAGTGCTCTTGGTAGGAACGACAGGTAACAAATATAAACGAGAATTATAATCGCATATAAAATTAGTCGATCAAAATAACTATCGTTGAAACTATTGCGTATGTTTTCCCGCCTTTTCTCACAATTTTTTGGTTACCCAACGCACTAGTAAGTTATTTGTTTAATATACTCCTATTTAATGTACATATACAAAAATTTTTAACCGTTTAGGTCAATGGTCGGGAACATGCTTTTCGCTTCAATTGCGTTTTGTTATTGTCATTTGTGAAAATTTTATGAAAAGATGAAAAGCCATATATTTTACCATGTAAGTATTGGCAAATTGTTATGGCAATTCGACTGCATCTTCAGAATATAAAACGGAAACAATAAATAGTGGTTTATTTATATATTTCTATTTGAACATGTGCGTGCACATAGCTTAACCTCAACGATGGAGTGTGATATACATAATTTCCAAAAAGAAAGAAAACTAACAGAACTGCAAATCGTTTCTAATATATTTTCTTTTAGATCACGGTTTTTTCAGCTCGAATCTGACTGATGGACTCATAAGCGTTTTCCCCGCCTTTTGGTGCCTTTTTATACCCGTACTCAAAAAAGAGTTAAGGGGTATATTAGATTTGTGGTAAAAGTGGATGTGTGTAACGCAGAGAAGGAAACGTTTCCGACCCCATAAAGTATATATATTCTTGATCAGCATCAATAGCCGAGTCTATATAGCCATGTCTGTCTGTCCGTCCGTCCGTCCGTCCGTCCGTCTGTCCGTCTGTCCGTCTTGTTGAGCGCCTGGATCTCAGAGACTATAAGAGTTAGGGTAACCAAATTTGGTTTCCAGACTGATGTGATATCACACTGCTACAAGTGTATTTCAAAATTTCGCCCCGCCCCCTTCCGCCCACACAAAGGACGAAAATCTGTGGCAGGCACAATTTTAAAGATACGATAAAACTAAAAACGCAGTATCGTAGAGAATGCCCATATCTACCAGATTGCCGAATCTGAATCAGATCGGATCGTAATCATAGCCAGAATGAAGAAATTAATTTTCTGTTGCTTTCCCCGCCCCCTCCGGCAACAAAAACTAACCACTGATTCTCTTTCTCGCTCGCACACTCTGCCGCGTTCAGTGCGCGAGCAACCCCTAGCGGAGGAGATGTAGAATCTAAATGGTACATGTATAATATACATGTTAGATGTAGAATATACATAGTATATGTAGATGTAGATAACAGATGTAGCAAAAATGTGCAAAAAATGTACGGGTATAAGTAGAGTCGCGTCCCCAGAAGCGACTCACACGTTCCTTCTCGTTGTTAGTGGACCTTGATCTAAACGCGATATTATATGGTGGGCTATATTAAAAATGCTTATGAAATAATATGCAATCTGCTTTTTTATTTTTTTGGTATTTGCCGTATTTTATTTATCGAATCTTCCCTATTAGAGACTGACGACAAGTATGCAAGTCTTAACCTAATACTTCTATTTAATTCATTACACTTAATTATTTAGAGGTCTCTTCGCGGAGTCGTGTATGGCTAGTCTGCCAAGTTAAAGACTGCGCAAGTCTATTAGGATGGGCCTGAAGCTTGGCCTGATACTTTGCTTTCACCTTGGCAATTAATCTTTAACTGATCCTACATTTAAGTCTTTATGGATATTTTCATTCCGTATGTACCATGGTTCCCCAGTGATAGTTTTTAGTATCTTCGATTGAGCTCTGGATTATTTCTAAATTACTAACGCAAGCATTTCCCCATAGCTCGGAGCCGTATGTTCAGATGCGTTTGAGAACTGCATTGTACAAAAGTACCTTTTACTCTAGTTTTTGTTGTAAACGGGTGTTTATTAGTTTTATTAGTTTGTCTGTTTAGGGTAAAGGTGATATGCTTGCACTTTTGCCCGTTTATGTGTATGCACCAGTCTGTATGCCTGTTAATCTGATATCCCATTTTATATAATTTTTTGCAGAATTTCAAGAGATATATAGTAATTAGTAATTTGGAAGCAAGAACGTCACGTAAATTTTACAGTTTCAAGCATGAAAAAGATTGGTTCCAAAACTTCTTGGAAGAAACCAAGTCCGACTGGTAGGTAAAACGGAATATTCTATTGGTGCCAACACGTGTACGAGAGCGGCAGAGAAGCAGCAGCGCATAGGCTACTTTTCTATCACAAAAAGTGTAAAGGTGTAAATAAATTACGCGCAGTCAGCGAAAAGCAGACTTTCTGCCTCCAGAGCAGTATGTAAACAACCCACAAAATGTCCACCATCAGAATACATTTTTTTAATTGACCAACGAAGTGATGTGGATACAACTAATCTTTTCAACGGTTTTAAATTCAAAAGCGAAAGTTAGAAGAATTTGCTAAGAAAAAGGAAGACAATTTGAGTACCTTCTCGTCCATGCAAGAGATGAGTTTTTCATCAGAGGAATGATTCTTCAGAATCCGATGAACATAGTAAGTTTATACAAATAATAACCACAAACAAAAATAAAACGAGAAGGAACGTGCGAGTCGCTTCTGGGGACGCGACTCTACTTATACCCGTACTCAGTCAGTATATTCATTTATGAGCATATGATTTTTTAGAATTTTAGAATTACAAAAAAAAATTTTGAAATACACTTGTAGCAGTGTGATATCACATGAGTGTGGAAACCAAATTTGGTTGCCCTAGCTCTTATAGTCTTTGAGATCTAGGCGCTCAACAAGACGGACAGACAGACAGACAGACGGACAGACTGACATGGCTATATCGACTCGGCTATTGATGCTGATCAAGAATATATATACTTTATGGGGTCGGAAACGTTTCCTTCTCTGCGTTACACACATCCACTTTTACCACAAATCTAATATACCCCTTAACTCTTTTTTGAGTACGGGTATAAAAATCTCACGCTTTCATGCTATATATGAATATGATTAGGTACAGCAACTCATCAAATGTCATAGACCGAAGTAAGATTCGTCGAGAGCGCGAAAAAGTTCGCAAAGATTTAAATTTATTCAACGAGATAAACTTATGATGGCTATTTATTTTGACGGTCGTAAAGACAAAACTTTCTTTATGAACTGTTCTGAAAATATTTTACCTGGAAAAACTAGAACTGAAGAACATATATAATTAATATCGTTGTCGGGCTCAGAGTTCATAAGTCGTCTTTTAATTTATTTGGGAAAAGCATCCAAAATTTAAAAAAATATTTTCGAGTTTTTAGAAAACTCATATAAATATCTTTTTTCCCTTGTGGCAATTAGATGTAATGGAACTGCTGTGAACACTGGACATAAAAATGTAGTCGTTTGCTTATTGGAAAGAAATAACAATCGACCCATGCAGTGGTTTGTGTGCTTGTTGCATGCGAATTTACCACTTCGCCATTTATTTATTACTGTGGACGGCTCCACAAGAGGCAATAATAGTTTTATTGGCAGCAAAATGTTAATTTGGTTGCCCTAGCTCTTATAGTCTCTGAGATCTAGGCGCTCAACAAGACGGACAGACGGACGGACAGACGGACATGACTATATCGACTCGGCTATTGATGCTGATCAAGAATATATATACTTTATGGTGTCGGAAACGTTTCCTTCTCTGCGTTGCACACAACCACTTTTACCACAAATCTAATATACCCCTTAACTATTTTTTGAGTACGGGTCTAAAAATGTAAATCAACGTACGTTGATTTTGGACCGAACTTCGATGTGCCTACGGGGCTATGTACTTTAGTGAGTAGCTGTTTGAATGAGTTCGTTGCTATCGGAAAGCTACATATGTTGTCGTGAGCTGTTGCTTTTCTGTGTTAGCAACCCTCTGTAAACTAAAACAATCATCAAATAATTATCTATAACCATTCCTACGTAGTCAATATACTAATATTAACTCTATTAAATACAAAATTGGCTATTGTACATAGAAAGTTTATGTTTACATATATCTTTATATACTATATTCTGCATCAACATAATCTTAACTCACAGTTTACGTGTACGTCAAATCTCTTGCTCACTGACGGCGGCACACCATTGGAAGCAATGCAATTGTAGCCACCCATATCTGTACGTTGGACATTTGTCAAAGTAAGTCTTTCTCCATCGACAGATTTCAGTGCTGTTACAATAAAAGATACAAAATATGTTCTTATAAGCTTTAGTCATTCAAAATCTTTAAAGAGGATATGTATAAAATGTGCTTTTGAGGTGTAACATGGCATGTAACAGCCACAAGAATGCGTCTAACAACCAAATAGCGAACAAAAACTGTTAACTTTGTTCTCTCGTATAACACCCTGTTCTCAGTAAGGGTGTAACTTACAATACAATATATTCCTTAAATCCGTCTAATCTCTTTCCACCCAATGACAAATAATTATAATGAAAAATATCTTAAACGACGCCTAATAAATGCGTCTATCTAAAACTAAAAATGCATGCCAACAATAATTTTTTTTTACTTTTCCTGAGTTGTTAAAGTCAAAATTTTTTATTGAAAGCTCAATATCTTCCAGGCGTTAAGCTGCAGCTACAAAGTGTCTCAGTCGGATTTATAGCTGCATTTGTCAGCTTTTCAGAACTGTAAAGTTCTATGCAACCAAATATAAGATACTTAAGCTATGTGAAAAATAAAAGCACTACTTCTTTAAAAAAAAACTAAACCATAAAAAAAACCATAACTCGTTAAAAATTTTTAAGCCCCGAAATCCTTTGGGCCACAGCCTAAATGTCGTGTTGACTAGTGTTCTCGAGCATGTACATACATTCATTAGATATGTACATTTATTTAGATATGTTCATATGTACGCGGAACCACGATCACGGGTGGTCAAGAGTCGGGTGATTGTGGGATATTGAGATACGAGTGCATATGTACATATGTAAATACTGCAGATAGTGCCATTTTCTGAATAGTCAGAGCAATTCGATCTAATAGGTTTCTTTTTAAAAATGTACAATGGTTTATATAAATGTACATTAATGTATATGCTCTTATTCGTGTGGAGTTTTTCTGCCACAGCTATTAAGATTAACTTCCGTTTTTCTTTGACGTGACCAACATTTTCAGATCTAATTTTGAGGTTGGTTTAAATAAAAATTATAAAAAGATCACAAGCTCAATTGCATTGGTAATGGTGTCAAATTCATGTGAATGCATCATTAAGTCATCTAGTTTTTTCCTTTTGCAGTTAAGAATTGTTTAGTTGTATAAAAAGCCGTTTACTTTTCATTTCGGCGAGGAATTTGTTGCCGTTTTGAAAACGGAAAAGTCTTGAGTTTTACGAGTGCGGGTGCGCCTGACTCCTGAGTATGCCTGAGTATATTTGTGAGCTTATCGAAGGAGAAGGAGTAGCTTGGTCTCTTGTTGGATTAGGTGGGGGAAGCAACTGATAATGAATTTCATTATTCTGGCTATAATAATAGTCCGATCTGATTCAGATTCGGCAACCTGGTAGATATAGTCATTCTCTACGATAGAGCAACCAAATCTTGTTTGCAGACTCATGTGATATTACATTGCTACAAGTGCATTTTAAAATTTTTCTCATCACAATGAACGAAAATCTGTGGCAGCCACAATTTTAAAGATACGATAAAACTAAAAACGTAGTATCGTAGATAATGACCATATCTACCAGATTGCCGAATCAGATCGGATTATTATTATAGCCAGAATGAAGAAATTAAAGGTAGTATTAACTAGTTGGTGCCTATATATTCTTATATCAACAAAAACGATTTATCTCTACGTTACCTTATCTGCTCTGCGAAGTTTAGAAATAGTGACAGCCAAGAAACTAAATATTCCTGAGATATGTACACACCTTGTTTGTCTCTGCTCTCCGCTCTAAGTATAATATCCTTTCCTGTTTCACGACGCCACTGCACCCTTGGCTCAGGTACGCCAGTCGCACTACATACGAGTATAATACTGCCACCCTCAGTGCTGACGCCTTCCTCGAGATTATGGTCTGGGTGATTCAGAATATCCGGTGGCACAACAACATCTAAATAGCCTGACTGCGAAAAAACAAAGTATGATTCGTAATAAGCGAATGGGAAAGGTTTACACCGTCTGAGCTGTTTAATGCTGCAGAGTATGACTGCCCAGGTGGACTCTCTTCCCTTGCACATAGCACACAGGCACTGAGGGTAAGGACACCTTTGGACTAAGGATAAGCCCTATGGGAACGTTGTGGGACAGACATGCACTTACAAGGCTCTTCATGGGATCCGTATTCACTTGGCACATGTAGCTGCCGGAGTCATTTATCTGTACGCGAGATATGTGAAGTTTCCAGGTGTTGTGGCCGTTGTGTGTCACAGATAATCTGGGATTTAGTGAGACCATGTGTGTGTGTATGCCAAGTATTGCTTTTGAATCAGATTTAATCCATGCCACCTGAAATAGTTAGAACATAGACAGATACACACACTACTACTACATCGTTTTCGATATGGTGTGAGCACAGCATCCCCTTGTTCAAACAGTCTTAAGCTGAGCGCAAGTTCTGTGGATCTGAATATAATATAACCAGGGTATATGTATTTGTAAGCCCTACATGCATGTGTATGGTCGAGGCGAATTTTGTGTTATTATTGCATTAGCAAAGAAAACACCAAATAAGCCCGAAAATATACAAGAGGTATTTTTTAACTTACAACTCTAAGATATCGGTAATTCTGTACTACTTTGTTGTATACACGTCTAGGTTTTTTTTTCAACTACATATGTACATACTCGTATAATATCTTGCAAAAGCATAATACTGGAATACTCTTTTAAATGCTTTTTGGTATGTAGTTTAAACATACAAATTGTTGTTGTTAAATAACTAATTTTTTCTTTATCCAAATTAATAATTCTGTTTCTCTTAGAAGTTTTTATATAATTTCGATAAAAACATTTACATGATCATTAATCATTTTAATCAGGCAGGCTCCGGCTTCACTTACTTTTTCGATTTACTTTTTCAGCCAAAAGTCATACTGTTTATTTTAAGGCGGTCCGACATTCGTAAAAGTGTGATTTACTTACTCCCGTACTACTAAGTGCAAAGTTTACTGCTGTTATACCCACGCGCTACCCAGCTCATATAAAAAAGCCTCTGTTATGTTTAACAGAGATTTATCAATAACCAAAATAGGGCAGCTGAAAATATGAATTCATATTTTTTAATTTTTTTGGTCTGACCAATTTTTTCAGATATAAATTTGACGTTGGTTTAATCAAAAATTATTTATAAAAAGGGCAAAAGCTCAATTGCACTGGTAATGGTGTCAAATTCATGTCAATGCATCATTAGGTCATCTAGTTTTTTTCCTTTTGCAATTAAGATTTGTTTAGTTGTAAAAAATGCCGTTTAATTTTAATTTCGGCGAGTAATATGTTGCCGTTCTGAAAACGGAAAAATTTTAAGATTTGCGAATGCGACAGCGTCTAATTTTTCGTTGTTAAAAGTAAATCGGAAAGTGAAAACTGGAGCCTGGCTGAATGTAACACTTTTACTTTGACCCAGGCTCATGTATCATGAAAACCACAATTGCTAAAGCCACTTGATTTTGTATGAAGAATCCATAGATATTGAATATATATATTATCTTGATGAACAATACATACCCGATATTGTCCCAAATTATCAACAACACATGTGAAGGATATGTCTCGTCCCTGTGGTACAGTAATATTTGTCAATTGCGCCAAAAACTCCGGGACGATTTCATCTGGTTCGCTGTGTCCTTTAATTTTAATCAAAAATATTTGTTAAAAAGCAATGTCGTTTAGCGATTAGTTTCTCTACCCTGGAAAATGCGCACAGTGTAGGGATATTGGAGGAAAAGATATCATAAATCTAAAAGAGCGTGAACGTTGTGAGCCTCTGCATTTGTATGCAGCTTGTATACCCGATACTCATTGTATACATATGAAATCTTGGAATTTTGATCACACTTGTCATGAGAAATGGGAAATTAAAATTTTATTTTTTCCAGGTATCAACATTTTTTTTAGAGGGAAACAAAATTATGTCTTGTCAAGCTATGTTGAGTTGTTTCCCACAAAACAGGTCTAGAGATCACCTGATTGACATTTGAAATGGTTCGTTTCAAAAACGTTGGTAACATTTGGCTCGCTTTAAGACACCTACCGTCTATTGCTTTTTCGGACTAATATTCTTATTGGATTTGTTTCTGTGTATTTGTTATACCTAGCTTTTGAACCACAACGATCGTATTCTCGTATAATTCTCCTACTCCAATCGACGCAAAACTCGTTTTGGCGGATTTATAAATTTTTTGGGATCCCACTCGAACACGTATTTTTTACCATGAGGTTATCTGGGGAAATGTTAATAAGGGGTGCCAAAAAAATCACTTCCGCTGGAAAATTCCATTCCGCGGTGACACACACTGATTTTTCAGCGGAATCAAAATGACCCACAATTTATCCAGCGATTTGATTCAATAAACCCATAAAACACACTTAAAACGATTCGAATCTTACTTTCCCATAAAGGTTGTTAAATTGGTGGTTAACCCTCATCTAAATAATTTAACATTATACATGTTAAGTTAATAAAATAGGCATTTTAGCAAATCACTATCCAATCCGCTGACTAAATTTTCACTTAACGATTCCGCTCTCAATCTGCTGCAGTGCGAGGTGGCCACCTATGGCGATTCGGACTTTCGAAGTTAATACAGTAATGCCACCTTTTTTAAGCCGAATTCGGATTTTAATTATATTGAAAGCATTCTGTTTTTCTTTAATTAAGCATTACAAAAAATAGCTCATTGAAGTAAAACTTCCTTTACGTCAAACGTGTGCTACTTTTTGTAAAAATTGTGGAAACATTTGTAGTCATTTGAAGTTCTACCAGGTGGCATCGCTTCAAAATGCCAAAACATAACTAACAAACCATTTCTACACATTATTGCCATTGCATTTATGTCAAAAACCCCTGTTCGACTAAGTGCAGACCCATGGCAGCACAAATAAAAGCATAGCGATCATTATACCAAAAAAAACGGGTTCATACATATAAGAAATTTTGAAAAGTATTAAATAAAATAGACTGCTTATAACATTTTTTCCATGACTTTCATAATGGTCTGTATGAATATTATTCACAGGATCGCAGATGCATATTTCTGTGGGGTGCAGAATAATTAGTTTAAAACAATAATAGGAGACTGGTAATAATAACATAAATATACTAATAATACATAATAGGCTATACAAATATTTTACCGTTGATATGAATATTTGGCTGAGCCAAAAATTGACCAACAAAATTTTTATACCCGTACTCAAAAAAGAGTTAAGGGGTATATAGTGGGTGGGGGGTAGGGTCCCCCTATATATCTGGCAAGCCGGCGTGCCAGCGTGCCGCGCCGCGTCCGCTTGTTTGCGCCGGGGCTTGTGGGACCTGTTTCCGACTCAGTGATCACGCCGGTCATCGCCCCGCCCCCTCCCCCCCACAAGGACGATCGGGGGCCTTGTCGTGGGTGTGGCCCCTGCCCTGCGTCGGCTTTTGCCGATGGTTTTAGTCCTCCCCTGCCCCCCCGAACACAATCGCACATTCCCCGCTCGCACCTGCCGCGTTCAGTGCGCGAACCCCGCGGGGGTGTATACTATGGCAGTACCTACGTGGTGTGCTTGTGTGGGGTCAAAGTGCGTGTTTTTTTTTTTCTAACTGCCAAAAATGTTATACTGACTGGTACGGGTTAGTGAGCGCGTCCCGGCAACTCACACGCCCCGTTTTTGTTATTTTTAAGGAGACACCCCCAATTCTGTTCTTTGTTATTTAATATAATTATACGTTTTGTTTTTCAAGTTTTAAAATTGTAAAATTCAGTAGGACCCTGTAAAAAATAAAAAAAATAAAATAATAACATTTCAATTACTATTAAACCCAAGGTAACAAAACATGGGGTTGTCCCGTTTGAATTTGGAAAAAAAAATTGTTTGGCCCAGCCCAAAGTATATGTATATTTACCTTGTGTATGTGGCAACGAATGACCTCCGATTTCGCCTTTGATAAGTAACAAAACTATGGCAAAAGCTATCGCTTTTGTGCTGAACTTTAATTGAGTCATTGCAACAGTCTTAATATTTGAACGTTTTATGTTCGATGGATCTTCAGGTACAGTATATACTTCTTAATGCAGTATGTAGAAAATACTCGCTACTCGAGTTGATCCCTTGCTCTCTATATCTTCATACGGCATCGCCATCCACGTTTATTGTCATGCGCTTGCATTATTTATATAATTTCTTGATAATATCGATCTAAAAATATTTCCTGTAATGATAAATAGTCATTAATGGTTGAGAAATGATAAGCAAAACATAGCATATCGTGCAATACTTATCCGTATACCATATTTTTAGTTTTTCAAAAATACCTTCATTTGATTAACGTTATCATCAATTGATCTTTTCCCTTTACGAATTCTAGTTAGTTTCTGCGTAAGCCTATTAGAAGTAGACTGGATGGAAACACTGTAATTACAGCACAATCCTTGGCCTACTTGTTCTAACAACTCATTTGATGCATAGCTGACCATTAAAAAAATCTGATTTCTCGCAGTCGGCACTGTATATGTTACTGACTCAAGAGGAGAAAATATAATAGTTATAAACATTTAGTGAAATAGATAAGCTAAAGGTACGTAATTTTCCACCGTTGAAAATTACGGCTATTAGGATTCTTAAAAATGTTTCTTCAGGACTCAGAGTACTGTAAAACCTAGTACGTATACGTCGGAGCCGTTAAGGCCAAGCTTTTTTCAATTTCACCTACAGAAAAGCCTGGCTCTTTGGAGTTGGTACGGTATAAACTTATATTTCAGGCAAACAGGCTACCTTGAGTACCCCCGACGATACAGAAACAGGCTTAGAGAGACAGAGAGAGTTATTAAAATATACACGCTGAGAACGATTACAAAGGTAGAAGTTTAGACGGAAACCCTAGGAGAGATAATTTATGGATAAGCAGATTATGATTTACTGAATCAAAGGCTTTACTAAAGTCAGTATAGACTACACTAGTTTGAGACTGCTTAGCGAAACCCGCGTGCACGAAGGTTGAGAATTCAAGGAGGTTAGAAGAAATAGATCGGCATTTCACAAAACCGTGCTGCGATTCAGAGAATAAGGAACAACAAAAGTGTTGGAGCTGGGAAGTAATTATTTTTTCGAAGAGTTTGGGAATGGAAATCCCACGGTAATTAGAAATATCCGATTTAGACCCCTTTTTAAGAATGGGAATAATATATGACTCTTTCCAGACGGTGGGAAAATCGCCGAGCTCGAGAGATAGGTAAGAAAGTTTAAGGAGGGGTACATAGAGAAAATCTGCACAAAGCTTAAGAACAGCACTGGGAACCAGTAAAAAAAGAAAATTTACATGATTTTAAATTAATTAACAGGCCATTATAGTCGATGAAGGGGCGATAGATAAAGTTAGAACTATTCATGGGGAAAGGATACGATTGACTGGGATTAGCGATTGAATACTTAGAGAAGTCAGATTACGAACCAGTTCTTTTGAACCTTTAATACAAACGAGATTTAATATTCGAAGGTTTATGAAACGCGGGGTGAACCAAATAGGGCCACTAACATAACGCGAAGGGGAAATTAAAGGTACATAGGTATTAAAGATATTGAACAAGGAACAATAAAATGCATTTGTAGCTGGATCAATTTCATGAGAGTCGTCGAGAAATGACCAATCGATCTGATTGCGAGATTCAAGCACGTAAAATCTGCTTTCCTGAAGCAAAAGACGGTGGCTTTACGGTCGATTTGATGGGATCAGAGGAGGGAACTGCGCGGAAATTTCAAGTGTGGGATGATAAGGGTCTTCTGGAAAAGAGCACACTACTGACATGTTTGTTAGGAACAAGGATTTTGAAGGAAGATATATTGCGTTTAACTTTAAGGTTAAATTTAATAACAACAAAACTTGAGGAATCATCAATGTCGAGTTTAGAAAAGATAAAGTTCCTGACCAGGACATCCGTAGCAGATGCCATAAGTCAAGAAACGAAAATAGATTTTAGTGGGGCGACAGCAGATAGAATAGATGGAGGGAGGATAGAACTATTAGGGAGATACGGCGGAGCAGATTCAACCCGAAGGGCAGAATCAGCTGATAATGAGCCATATTCAGCATCAGCGGGTTCCAGTGAAGGAACCGAAGCTCTAGCGACGGGATCGTCATTGACTTCCCGCCTGACATCGAAGTCAGACACCGGCGCAGGAGAGGCGGCTAGTGAGGAGGTGGATGCAGAAGCCACAGTCGGTGCCCCATTACATCCAAGTTGGACAGCACCAAAGTCTCATAAAAACTTGCATGTCGCTTTCAATTAGCCTGCAGTCATAGCATTTCCAGTTAAGGCCACAGCGAGACTTTACCAAGTCGACTACGCGTCCACCAATTTGGCCGAGGTCAGTGCATACCGTGTGTGCCATGTTGTCACACAGCCAGCAGTAGGTGAAAGTAGCTTTAGGGCTACCGAGCGGCGCTTTTTAGCACAGCATGTACTCATTGTAAGAGTGTAGACCCAAAAAATAGATGAGCAAAAGGTAACAATCAAGTCGGTGTAAATGCCTAAGCTGTCTCTCGCGTTTGTAACACTCAGATAAGCGCACAAACAATAAGAAAGATAACAAAAACAACAACAAGAGTTCGACGGTGGCCGCTCGAAATGCAGTTAGCTTTATCAACGCGATCAGAGCTTAAATACAGAAAGACGAGATAAACACAGAGCTTTCGGCGGGCACGGAGAGACTCAGTGCAAGTATCTATGAAGAAACGGTAAGAACGGAGATGGAACGGAGTAGAGAGCGGCTCAGAGAGAGTGCATCGAGCAAATGTCAAAAACAACACAGCTGTGAATACGAATGCACGGAAGAAGTCAGAAAGCACAATTGTCTTTAAATAAGAAATAAATAAACAAAAATACGCTAACTAAACGAGCGCAGCTAGTGGAAAGATTGCATGGTCGGTTTACAACACAGGGTACTTAAATAAAACACAATTAGTTTCCTTTAAACGGAGAAAATAATACATTTCAGGAGTAGTAATTACAATTGTGTCACATGTAGAAAAAATACACACTGATGTTATGTCGCGGAGAGGATGATGGCTATCACTTCAATATAAATATAGTCAATCCAACGACAGGTTTGTTTAAAAGTCATCCCTTCTTTTTCATTCTACAACTAAGTCCAATTTATATTTCAAGGAACATGATCCATGGCCCTTGCGAAAGAAATGGCACATTCTCCAGATGAGGAGGGCAGATCAATCGTGATGAAAGTGAAAGGAAACGATGTCGTTATCGATAACCGCTGGATCGCTCCATACTGTCCGCTTTTGTCGAAAACGTTCTCAACCCACTGCAATGTTGAGTACTGAAACTCCATCAAATACGTTTAAAAATATGCGAACAATGCTGGCCGATGCAACTGTTTTGGCGCCATCGCATTAAATTCGTAAAGTTGTTGCGATTATTATATCCAGATGATCCGTCGAACCCGACCGCATTGTGGGACAAATACTAGGACGAGATGGCTCGTCAAATGGTCGAGAACGAAAAATCATCATTTCGGATGAAGGCACGATGGCGCATAAACGAGCTTTGGAGGCACTTGACCGGGCGATGAAAGATTTACGAGGTAATTTGAGACGATTTGGTGGGACTATGATATTGCACTCCGGAGATTTTCGTCAAACTCTTCTCGTCATTCTGAAATCTACTGATGCCGATGAACTTAATGCATGCTTGAAATTGTCGCCTTTGTTATGTTGAAAAGTTCAAATTGACCACGAGAGTCACGTTGCAGAGCGATCCATCGGCTGCTAAATTCTCGAGACAACTACTGGCACTTGGCAATGTACAATGGAACAGACTACCGTTTGTTTTGGCATACATTGGCTACATCGAATCAATAAATTACAAAATTTTAGTTGCAACGGTGCATTTTTGCAGCGCTAACAAAATCAGATATCAGATATCAAAATCAGATATTTGTTCAGCTGTTTATCTGTCAAAATAGGCGAGGAAACTTTTACTCAACTTTGCGCTTCTGTTGTAAAAACACAAGGTATCCAAATCTTTGTTGAAAAAATTGAGAATAAAGGTCAAGCTATGCCAAATATAATTGTTATTAAAAGATTTCGAATTATGCGTTCAATGCTGTAGTTGTGGACAGTCTTTGTTGTGTCTATTTTTTAGAAAAAATCTTATCAAAGTGTTTGTATTTTGTGGACAAAAAAACTAATTTCTGCCATAAAGTAATTATGCAAATGTATACTCTAAACTGTGATTTAAAACTTGCTATTAACACTTTTTGCCCATTCTTTTCATATTTTAAATTTTAAGCCAAGTTAGCGGAAAGCCATTGTGTCTTACTGGATGTGTGGATCAATGGAAATTGAAATGAAAAGCGTAAAATATGCATACAATTATAATTGTCTCGATTGTACTAGTGAACGGGCAATACAGCGAAAATAAGAACGTCGATAGCTTGGATTTCATTATTCAAAGTCAAATCGCTCGAGAACTGCATTCGTACAAGTCCGTTGACAGCGTGATCGACGAGGATAAGGCGACCAACTATCCGACGGAATTTTTGAGCTCTCTTGAAGTGCTAGGAACTCCGCCGCATAACTCTGCTGAAGGTGGGATCGATCAGCTGTACGTTGAATGTTGGCAAACCGTCTTCGTTGTTTGTTTTTTGCATCGGAAAATATATCGAAAAACATCGTATGGATCTCAACTGATTTTGATAACATTCCAATAAAGAATAAAGCAAATTGAACTATCTGTGTTTTATAACCACTCAGGAGTTTATCTGAAGGCGTTAAATTGGCGCGAGACAAAGTTTGCTGTGTTTGCTAGTTTAATGGGCTTGATTTACTAACAAAAAAACCGTACCTTGGACATTTCTTGGACAATTTTCGTGATTAGTGTCTTGTTTTGTTAGAATCTCATGAAAAGATATATCAATTGGTTAAGTTAGTTACTATATATAATATAGTTAATAGTTTTATATGATTAAAAAAAATAGTATTATTAATTATATGTCATAAGTATGTTTAACTTGTCACGAATACTGGAAGCCCATACAAACGATTTCAAAATGTATAAAGTCCCAAAATTCTTTAACAAAATTTTCTTTGTAGAGTGCGGAATTTGCCTCAGGTGAAACAAATGAAAATTCGTAAGACACATGGTGGCAGTTCGTATCCCAGACCAATATAGCCCCCTCACGACTATAGTGACAGGT